GGACGCAAGCCCCCTTTAGACTTAAATCGGCAGGGGAGGGGAGAGGACAGGGCTGAGAGCAACTGAAGTTTCACTTTGCCTTTACATTTTTTCTTAAAGCAGTAAGGAAAAGTCAATATAAGCTACTGGTTACCCACTTGGCTGTGCTATTCCTCTCTTCCCAGAGTTAACCAGACTGAATCCTTTGCTGGATATACAATTAAACACCTCATGCAGGAAGCCCCCCCTGCTGGATTTCACTCTCACACAACACACATCCACTCCTGTGACAGACACTGAGCTGGGCACTGCAGAGGGATGCAGGGCTTAGCAGAGCCGAAAAAGGCTGTTGTCCTGCCCAAGGAAGTTACTACTTAGCAGAAGCTCCTGCCCTTCCTCTTCCACCTTTCACCAAGGTACAAGCCGACAGTCCTATTTCTTCTCCCTGCTTCAATCTAATGATCGCTTTCTTTTTTTTTTTGTTTTAAGATACGACACAATTTTCTCTCCTCTGTGAAACTCCAACTCACCAATGACAAAAAGTCAATGAAATGCAGGGTTTGGGGTGACAGTTTCCTGGACATCCCTCCCAGCTTCCTGATAACGGTGCCTTTATACCTACAGATGGCTAAATCCCACCCGCAAGAAAACAGCAACTCATGAACAACATCCCTGCATCCCACAGGGACAGTGATGTTGTTGGATGCAGAGATGTTGTTCTGTCCACTGGAATATCCCAAGCACCTGAGTGAAGGATACTTCCCACCACCCCACCCAATTCCATGGGATCAGAGTTGAATTCTGAAAAGTGCAACCAAAGATGACAGAGGCGGTAGCTGGAGGGAAGGGGAAGTCCACAGAGAGTTTAGGTAAATTTCCAAACAACATTCCCACTATTCCTACAATGCACTGCATTATTTGTGAAAGCTAAAGACCAAAAAGAAATCAGAGTTTCAACTTTGCCATCTACAGTAGAAACTGAGAGTCTTATCTGCTGCACAGGTTTTAGCACAAGTGCCTCCAGTTTTACAATTTCAACCAGCAGCTTAAGTAAAAAAGCCTGGGCACTAAAGATGCCCTCTGGGTTAGATTACCAGAAATTTCCTTTGTCCACAAACCACTTCAATTCTCTCTGTCCCTAATCTCCCCATCTGGTCTTATTAAATACTTCATATTGTCCAAATGTAGATGTTTTTTTTTCAGCTCTGATTATTTTTTCTAAAGTAATGACACTCCCACCTGGCTAGAAGAATGCTTCTGGTAAAAGAAAAGACCAGAGTCTGAAAACTGTACTGCAATGAAGAATAAAGCCCTCATCTAACCACAGCCACCCATGAGAGGGGAGGCAGCAGCGGCAGGTGTTAGGGGCTCTGAGGTCTGCGCATTAGTCACCGCTAAAGCATTGCAGACAGGAGTGTGCATGCACTCGGGAATCAAAAAGCCCAGGCTGAGCCCCAGCCTTGCTTTCAGTCAAGGCTTTGTCACTTACTGTCATTCCTTTGACCCGAGATCTCACCAAACCCTGTAAAATTGAGGGTGAGTCCTACCTTGAATACTGTTGTGAGGAATAAATGAAGTAATGAATATAATGCACCAAGTGCAGGTTCCCACGGATATGCACTCAATAAATGTTAACTATCCTTAGCTATCTAGTAATCAGAAAAGCAAAATGGCCTTTCACTTCTTTAAGTCCTTTTGCTTCCAAAAAAAAAAAAGGTGTGTGGGGCTTTTTCCTCCACACACATCAATGAAATGTAATATAAGAAGGAAGACCTGGCTGGGCGCGGTGGCTCACGCCTATAATCCTAGCACTCTGGGAGGCCAAGGCGGGAGGATCGTTTGAGCTCAGGGGTTCAAGATCAGCCTGAGCAAGAGCAAGACCCTGTCTCTACTAAAAAAAAAAATAGAAAGAAATTACCTGAACAACTAAAAATATATAGAGAAAAAATTAGCTGGGCATGGTGGCGCATGCCTGTAGTCCCAGCTACTCGGGAGGCTGAGGCAGAAGGATCGCTTGAGCCCAGGAGTTTGAGGTTGCTGTGAGCTAGGGTGACACCACAGCACTCTAGCCCAGGCAACACAGTGAGACTCTGTCTCAAAAGAAAAAAGACAAAAGAAAAAATAAAAAAAAAAAAGGAAGACCCAATTCAAGTCCTAGCTCAGGGACAACTCACTTGAAATTTAGAGCAAATCATATCACCTCCATTTCATCTATAAAATGGGAATAATATACCATATTAAACTTTCATGACCTCACAGACAAGAATCAATGAGTTAACAGGTGATAAAAAGCTTCCACTTCCTCAAAGAAAAAGCAATAAGTAAATCCAGAGGATGATTATTAAAATGCCAAACCCAGTATTACGGGACATAAATAAGCTAATAATGGTCCTTACTTTTTCAAGAACATTAGGTTTGATGGCCTTTTAATCTGCTCACATGGAGCCTGCTACAAGTCGGAGGAGGGAAACGACTGCTGCTCGGACAACCCTGTTTAGAGGTAGGGCCCATCACAGCCAAGACCCTACCCCTGTGCACTGGTCAGGCCTTGACCATCCTGGGCCACTTCTAAGATGCCAGCGCTGGAAGAAATCAGGTAATGCTTCTGGTTCCACCTGGACATGTCAAACCAACAACCACCAAAATCCTCACCTGCTGTGGGACTACTCAACAGACCCAGGAAAAGGTCAATGCTTACCATCTGCTCTCCTGTACTGAGTGGTATAAGACCTCTTCCAGGGCATGCACCATCCTTTCTTTAAAAATGCAACACATGAGCCAGGAGAAAGAGCTCAATCTTTCCTTATTTTTATTTCTAAGTCCAAGGTGTTTCATTTTTAACCTACCATTAGAATGTCCAGAGAGCTGGAAGCTGGAGTAGAAGGAGCGAGGGCAGCTAATCTTTCTAATTTATAGATGGTGCATGCAATCAAAACTGCATCCAATTTCATTATCCCCAGGTGTCTCAAACCCAAGGAGGAAAGGAAAAATTTACTTATGGTTACTGAACACCTACCATGTGCGAAGCACTGTGCTAAGTACTTTACATACGTTCTTTCCAAAGCCCATTTTCTCTCCCACACCTAGTAACACTACGAAATAACCACCACTGAATGGAGATCATCCCAAATGGGTGGGTGGGGGGCATAATCTGTAGTCTAGTTTTAGACACTTCAAAATGTTAGCATTGTGAACACAAAAAAGAGCCTTGGCTAAGGAACCAGGTCCAAGTTTTGAAACATTCTTTACAAGAGGAACACCCAAATCATGTCTTTCCTATAATTCTGAAATTAACTCATGCTATTTAATACACTATTAAAAAGATTAAAAACGTTTACACTTGGAGCAAAAGAAAAACTCACTGTAGGGCAAAAACAACTGGGGCCAAATTTCTGACCTGAGTAGCACATTTAATAATCAAATATGGAATTTATAATATTCTCTTAAAGGCCCTTCAGAGATGTGCTCACAGGAGAAGGCAACCACAACAATGAACTGGCATCTGTGTGGCCAGGTAATGAGAAGGGGAAGCTTTCCTGCCGGCTCCCGCAGCGATTTATAGTAAGATGTCTTTCTTACCATAAAACTTAACTCATTCTCACCCCTAGGGTACAAGCCATCAACCTAAATGATTGTCTATGTAGCGAACTGTCAGATGGGACCAAATGAACATTGGTGTCCGGATATTTAAACGCCATTCTCTCCATCTCACACACACACACACACACACACACAACACAAAACAGAAACAAAAACACCGTCCACAGTTCACCTACATTCCTCTGCATTAACCCATTTCATGCAAACTACAATTAACGTCTGCATTAAACCTCAACATGAAAAGAATATGAACCTGTTTTTGTATTCTTGGAAATACTTTATCTGCATTCAGACCCAGGAGAGAAATCAACCAAAATATAGGTCCATGTCCCTCACTGGGATGAGGTACAGAGGCCCTGCCTGGGGGGTCTGGCAGACCCCTTCCTCCCAGCAAACACTTGTGAATGAGCTGATGATGCCAGAAACCTGCAAAGCTGAGGCTCTCGCTTCATCGGGCTTTCTGCTAACACCAGGCAAGCCCCGGACCTGTGCAGGGCTCCTCAAGGTGATTTTCAAACCTAATTTCCAGCGTACCACGGAGACCTCCAACAGCGCTACCACCTTGTAAGGCAGCGAAGGGGGCGGCCCTTAGGTAAGCGTCGTGCGTGGCTGCCATCACCTCATGCACTCACCTCCGCCACCAAAAACTAAAAAAACACTCAGGGCTATCTCGGGGCCACCTGCCATAACGGCCCCAGCAGCCCTCACTCACGGCGCACGCCAGGCTCCACACCAGGCCACCAGGACCGGGCTTCCCGGGGACCGGGCTCGGGCGGCAGGACGGACCTCGGAGCCCGGTCCAGCCGAGCCGTCTCCGGCCCGCCCCAGAAGCCTCCCAGTCTCCCGACCCCCAGCCACTCCGACCCCGACAAGGAGCGGGAGCCCCCCTTGGCTGCCCCGGCGCCAGCCTGCCCGGGAACTCGGGGACCCCCCCCCCCGCCGTTCCCGGCCGCAGGTCCAAGCCCTGAGGTCAAGGACAGGGCCGGCGAGGGCCGCGCGCCCGGAGGGGCTTGCTCGCGCCTTGCCCGCCAGCGAGCGGGCTGGAAGCGGCCGCCAGAAGGAGGCGCCAGGTGTTCACGGCCGCCCGGGCGGCAGGGCTTCACCCACATGTTGGCGCGGCGGCGGCCGCCGGCTCCGCAGCCGCCCGTAGGGGCCAGCCGGGCCCGGAGCCCTGCGCTCGGGGCGTGAGCGGGATGCGGCTCCTCAGGGGCGGTTGGGCCGGCCGCGAACCCGAAGCCCCGTCCTCACCTCCGCCTCATGCTGTTGTGTCCCCGCGGCTCTGGCGTCCCGTGGCCGGCCCGGGCCGCCCAGCCCCGCTCCGGGACCCGCAGCCCCGCAGCCCCGCAGCCCCGGCGCGCCAGCCCGCAGGGTCGGGCGCGGGCAACGGCAAGAGCAGCGGCAGGAGCAGCGGCGCCACCGCCGGTGGCTGGGCGGGCAAATTGAAGGGCGGGGGCTGCGGCCCTACAGGCCCGACCACGGGACCCCGGCCTCGGGGGCGGGAGATCTCAGTGCGCCTCTGGGACCGGCACGTGGATCGTCCTCAGGGACCCCGTTGCTACGTGCAGGCTCAGATTTTCCAGAATCTCATGGATCGTATGCATAACCTAAAGAAATAGGCTGTCGCCACGCCCTTCCTCCTCTCCGGCCCCCGCACGGTCCATATGGTACAGTCCACAGTGCGCCGCCGGGATGAGAGAGGGAAGAGTTGATTGGTTGGGAGTCTTGGAAGGGGGCGAGAAGCCACACGAAATGGCCAATGGGGAAACACGGTGGGCATAGCAAAGCCTGCCAGATGGAGAGAAGAGAGGAGGCGTTTAAAGGGGATTTGCTTGTTGCGCTGTAGCCGCCACAAAACAAAACTAGGACTTTCTTCCTGACCCTATCCAGATGGGAAACAAAGAAATTAAGGGAACTTCAAATTTTTGGAGGAGGGAGCTAAAAGCAAATATAGAGAGAATTGAACCAGATATATCTGCATGACCTTGAGCAGGTAATGCCAACTCTTAGCCTCAGCTTCCTCATCTAGTCCAATGAGGACGTTGGACTACAGTTGATCTCCGATGGCCCTTCTCATATTTTGTGATCCTATCATCCTTTGCATGGGATTACCAATATCTACATACCTTCTTCAATTTGGGGCATGAACCACCATCTTAAAGAACTTTGGTTGAAAGTAGACTTTCTGACACCAAATCCTTCATAGCGACAATATCAACCCGACTTTTTATAAAGGCAAATTCAACATTCTTTCTGGGTCCCTCTTCTCTTGAAGAAGAGCGTTCTTCTTAGATGTAGAGACTCCGCCCCCCCCAGTATCTCAAAATTTCTACTCAACCAAGAGACCCCTCTTCCTCTTTCTTCTCCCTTCCTCCTTCATAATCAGACAAAGCTTCAGTTAATAATTCATTGTCCTGTTGAACTGTTCAGCATTCCTGCGTTCAGCAACAAATCCCACTGGTCACCCCTCATTAGAGCTGCTAAATTGCTTGTCCCTGTCTGAGGTCTGTAACACACCCCTCATGGCCAATTGTGCTTTCGAGCACACTACATGTCAAATTTAAGACTATTTCAAACACTCCTTGAGAGCCTAGTCTCTATTTTAGAGCTTCACATGGGGCAGCTAGGCTTACATTTTGGCTACCAAGTTTCAAACCAACTCCAACTTCTTTATTTCAGAATCTTCCCACCTCCCAACATCTGGTCACCCTACCCCCACTCTATCTGCTTGCACCTTGTATCAGGTGTTTGGGACACCCTTTCTAATAGCTTCACTCCTAACCAGAAAACTCATCTTCCAACTATAATCCAAAGAGTTCCAGAAAGTCCAGTTCCTCCACGAAGCCTTCCCAGATTGATTACCAGAAGCTGCCAGCTTATAGAGCTCCCATTTCTACAGTGCATCTGCCCCACCATAACACCAATTTTCCATGCTCTCTGTCCCAATATACATTTCTATTGACATATTTCCCTCTCTCACTGGAACACAGCAACAGCTTACATTTATTAAGGGCTTACTATGTGCTAGGTACTGTTGGGAAGTGCTTTGCATGCATTATTTCATTTCACCCTCATGTCAACTCTGTGGAGTTCCATTATTATTCTAAGGCTTACAGAAGCTGATTTGCCCGAGTGCAAACAGAGGTCTCACTCTAGTGCCCACCCTCGTAACCCCACAATGCAATACTATCTCCAATTTCTTGAGAATCTACTGCATTCCATACAAAAGATAACGTCAAACTTATCATGTTTTGCATTTATTTCTATACCTATAATATCATTTCAGCTTCAAAACAATCACGTGAAGAGAGTTAGTAGTCATTTGTTTACAGACGAAGAAGGAAACTACAGCTCAGAGAGGATGACCAGTTTGGCTAAGGGAACAGGCTGGTAAATCATGGTGCCTAGTTTTCCAAGTTGTACATTCTTTCCACTGCAATCTCTGCTGGCTGAGTGAACACAGCCTTTTTACATGTAACAACTAGAGAACAATTGTAAGCAACAAGGAAACAAATGCAAAATAGCAAAAGCTATGCCATGGCATTCAGGGAGTGTGGCACAAGAAGTGTTTACAGAGGGGTAGACAGCAAGCCAAGGAAGACCTATGAAGAGTGAGAAGCACTGTGGACTTCTTTTCAGTGGTTTCTTGTTTATATGCTTTCAATGAGATTGCGTCTTTGACATTATCTGGCAAATTCAATAGCAAAGGGCCACAAAAACTGCTCCCCCACAGCCTGGAGTGCTTGGAGCCAGAGTCAGCCCCATGCCCACGAAGAAGGGACCTCTGTGTGCGGCACCGCTGCCAACCAGTCGGGGGGGTTCTCAATCTGCTGCTCAGTAAAACATCCTGCTCCACTTGCAGTTGTTAGACAGCCCTGAAGATACAGACCGGGCTAATGATTTCATTCTTTTTAAACTGTGGACATCCTCACAGGGGTGGACATGCTAGCAAAATTGTGTGGGAGCAGCAAACGTTTAATATTGATTAAGAAGCCTGAACGAGGTAATTCCAAAGCCAATACTCCTGAGTTGCTCTTTGCCTCGCCCAGCCCTAGGCAATCCATCCAGTTAATTCTCACTCCATAGCCCTCCTGTCTCTTCTTATCCCCAGAGAGCTCTAAAATGTCTCTGCTTATCTGACTGCTTTATTTATGCATTCAAACATTTATTGAGCACCCACTACGAGCAAAGAACTGTCAGGTTGTGTGGGGTTCTCCTGACGGACTGCACATGAAGCGTGTACCTACCTAGTGGACGGGGTGATAAACATCAGACCAAGTCAGTAAGGAATGAATCAGCCTGAGCTCCTCAGAAAGTACATGACAGGATCCCATCCTCTGTGAAATGTACAAGCTCATGTTGGAATGTCCTGTCCCCTAGTAGGAGAGGGAGCACTGGGTTGAGTTCTAGAAAGGGGCTGGGGTAGGGGGCATGGGTGGTGTACTGGGGAGAAAGGTGGAAAGGTCGAGGGTACCAAAAATAAGTGGACGCGTATCAAACAGCGGGGAGAATAATCTAATGTCAATCCACAGTTTGGCCATGAGAAGACTTGTGGTGTATTCTGTCTTATTTTTAAGACAAAAATATTTTCTGACTTCAAAATAATACATATTCATTTAGAAGAATTTTTTAAATAGAGGAAAGTACAAAAAAATAAAAATTATCCGTGATCTTTACCAGCATGTCATTGTTGCTATTTTGATATATATGTTTTCCTGTATTTTTTCTGTGTACATGTATATGTACCTTCTTTTTTTGTATATATCTTTTTAACAAAATTTCATCAAACTGCTTTGCAATCTACTTTTCTATTTAATAAGCTAGGAGTTTTCCCATGCCACTATATATTATTCTAAAATATGATTTTAAATGGCTTCATCGCATGGCAATACCTTAAGTTATTTGGCCAAGACTCAACTTTTAGTCATTATTTCCAATTTTTCATTATTACATGTAACTTCAGGGATTGCCCATTTATGTAAATATTTATGATTCTTTCCTAATATTTCTAGAAACATTATTGCTTGGTCAAAGGGTATGCACATTTTTAAAATGTCTCACATATATTGCCAATTTGTCTGAACCTCCACCAATCCTGGGCATTTGTCTTCTTTTGTAATCCTTGCCAATTTTACAGATGAAAAAAATTATCTCAGTGTTTTAATTATTATAGTATATTGAAGAATTCCCCATTCCCAGTTTGGGTGTGGTTTGGTTGGGATTGGCCACAGCCCTCTCTGGACTTGACATGGGATGTAGGTAGCTCTGGGAGCTGCTGGCAGCCATCCTGGGCCATGAGGGCAGAGCCAACCCTAAGGAGGGGAGTTGAGGAAGGGAGAGAGGGAAAGCTGGGTCTGCTCATATCTGTGAGCCCTTGAGTTAAGTCTCATGGGAAGCCAGTTAGGTGAGACAATAAATTCTCTTTCTTTCTTTCTTTTTTTTTTTTTAACTTAAACCAGTTTGGGTCAGCTTTCTGTCACTAGCTAGCAAAGCAAAGGATGATGACTGAGACACTTGCTGTGAATGAATTCCACGGTCCAACAGGAACTCAGTCCATCCCTTCCACGCGTTCCAAATATTACACCCATGCCTGCCACCAGCTCTGATTACCATGCCCCCCAGGGGTGTTCAGCTTTAAGGTATCTCTAGAGATCTCCCAAGCCATGTGTAGCATAATGGCTCCCAGGATGCCCTGGACAGGCTCAGAAGCCCATCCCATCCACCTGTAGGAGAAGGGAGTCAAGAAGGAGGAACAGGGAGGTCTGATTCAATTCCTGGGCTGTATTCATTGTCATATGGACTGACTGAAGACATGGGATATGAAAGGCTTGATGTTCTTGCCCCTCTTCTATGCTGAGGGACTGGTTTGGGACCAACTCAGACTTCCAGAGGAAAGCTAAGGGCATCCATGGATTGGGATGTCCCAGAGCTGGAAGATGACATCCTGGGTTCTGGGGTTGATCTCTAGGCTAACATCTCATAGTGAAGGGGAAAAAATTAGATATATATTTTACTTTTTAACTAATTCCAGACTGATTTGCAAGTTTTTACCCTGCCAGGAGGAAGGAAATTAAATGCAACTTGACAAAATTGCAAATCTACTTCTGCATTTTTCATAACACTACAGCAAAAACTTGGGAGGTGTTTCCCTAACTCATTGGCATATATATGTTTGGTAGTAGCCAGAAATTCCATGCCATGAAAGCAGGCAAAAACAAGATGGCAATATGTGAAAGAAATTTCTAGACACAAAAGCCACTGGAAAATAAAATCTAGAATCACCACATCATAATCATC